TTTTTTTTTTTTTAAATAAAGGAGGTCTAGGCTCATGCTGAAAGGACAAAGAAGCCAGTTTGAGGTTAGTAAGGCTGTCACAATTTGAACACTAAAAGGAGAATAATTACAGCCAGATGGAATAAATGAATTTCTGATAAGCCATGAATTCATAATAAAGCTAAAAGAAGGGTAAAAATAATAGGATATTTAATGTCTTATTATGCTAATAATTGTTTCTCCTATTTAGTATGTATCTATATGTGACATTTACCTGCATATATTTTGTTTCAGTCCAAGTAGGCTAGCGTAAACAAAAGGAATCATGACTAAGCCAAACAGTCCCCAAAAAAGCAGGCCATAGGCCAAAAACAGACAAGTCAAATCCAAGCTGTACACACACACACACACACACACACACACACACACACACACACACACCATTTAAAAGGAGATACATTGTTGGTAGGACTGCAAATCAGTGCAACCACTCTGGAAAGCAGTAAGGAGATTGCTCAAAAAACTAGGATTGTAACCACCATATGTCCCAGTGATCTCACTCCTCAGTATACATTCAAAAGATTCAATATCAGCATACCACATGGATGCAGCTACATCAATGTTTATAGCAGCACAATTCCTAACAGCCAAGCTATGGAACCACCCTAGATGGCCCTCAACAGATGAATCAATAAAGAAAGTATGGTATATACACACAATGGAGTATTACTCAGCCATAAAAAGAATGAAATTATGGCATTTAATGGTAAATAGATGAAACTGGAGACTACCTTGCTAAGTGTAATAAGCCAGTTCCAAAAAGTCAAATATTAAATGTTTTCTGATATGTAGAAGCTAGTCCAAAATAAGGAAGGGAAAAAAGAAAGATGAACACTTCCTACATCTTGCAAAATTAAAAACTAATCACTCCAGCCACCTTTTGGAGTTTACTAAAATACATATCAAAGGAAAGGAATAAGCCCTAATGTCTCTTAGGTGATCCCCTTAGTTCACATTCTCTTCTACCCAGATTCTAAGGACTTGCCTGTTTCAATCTGCTGCCACTTACTCTATCCACTGAGGTTCTTCACCTCCAGGACTGGCTAAATAAGACAATGAAATATGTTCTGCTAAATCAGCCTTTCTTCCTCATCCATTTTTCTTTGCCTCTTACATATAAGCTCACAAGCCCTTTTCATCTTAAAAGATTTCCTGCTTAATAACAGATGTGGAAGAGGTACAAAGATTCAGAAGAGGTCTTTTGCCCCTAGTCTAGAGCAAGCTCAAGTTTTCTAAGAACTATAATTAGAATGTTCTAATCCCTGTCTAAAGGGCTGTATGGGAAAACAGAATGAACTGGGACATGGAACCAGTTTGGGTTCTCATCTCAGTACCACTACTTACTATTCAACATCAGGGAAATTATCTCACCATGCCTCAAGACTAGTGGCGATGGCAGTAACTAAAGACAGTTATATAAAGAAGATGCAAGTAAAATACTTATCATATTGCCTGCTATGTGGTAAGTTCCATAATAAATACTAGCTATGAACTGTTTTTATCATCTAGCAGCTCTCTCACCCTATTTGTTAAGTTATACATCACTGTATCCTGGTTAGCTTCATTAGATAGGGTACCCCTGATTAGCATGCAGCTTTCCACATGACACTCAACATTTAAGATGTTTAAGAACATTTAAGGCAATACTGGGTTTGATCTTCAACACCACATAAAAATAAATAAATAATTAAAGATATTGTATCCAACTACAACTAAAAAATGAATATTAAAAAATATATATATATAAACACAAGAATTTTAAAAGGATCTGTACGCATCACTGGGACAACTCCAGTAATGCTCAGTTGCATACTTTAATACAAGCCTGAAGTGTAAATTTGCTTTCTTTCTGGACCACAGAAAGTTTAAGATTGGCAATTGAGTCTGAAGTCAAACAAGACACCTCTTAGAAGCTATACCAATCCATTCCCACACAGGAAATCATTAATTCCCACTACCTGATCTGAAGTCTTATGGTTACTACCATAAGCATTTGGAAGCAGGGACAGTACTGGGAATTGAACCCAGGGACATTCTACCATTGAGCTACATCCCAACCCTTTTTATTTTATATTTTGAGACAAGGTCTCACCAAGTTGCCAAGGCTGTTCTTGAACTTGTGATCCTCCTGTCTCAACCTCACAAATCACTGAGATTTCAGGAGTATTACCATAAGCATTTTGAGATAACCATAAAATAAAAATCAAAGAAAAAAGTTCATGTTCCTCACTTGTGTATTTCGCTTTCTGAAATCAGATTAGACGAACCCAATTTCCACCATATGATAACAGGACCTTTATTTATCAATAATGAAAGAATGACATAGGCCAGGCATGGCCTTAATCCCAGCAACTCAGGAGAATGAGGCAGGAGGATCCCAAGTTCAAAGCCAGCCTCAGCAACTCTGCAAAGTCCTAAGCAACTCAGCAAGACCTTGTCTCTAAATAAAATACAAAAAGGGCTGGGGATTTGGCTCATTGGTTAAGCACCCCTGTGCTCAATTCCCAGTACAGGAAGGAAGGAAGGAAGCAAGGAAGGAAAACTGACACAATGAAAGACACAGAAATGGTACTTTAGCAAAATTCCAGTTTGACATCTGCCTCTACAGATTAAAAGTCTCAAAATGTTACATCTTATCAATCTACTAATTGTTGAGAAACTACCAAATGTTCCACATTATACTGGATGCTATGAAGAACATGAGACTTCAGTGAGCTTATAAAGTGTTTATGGAATTTAGAAGTTCTGATTACTACTATAGTATGAAGACTGCTAGACCTGAAAGGGGGCTTGGTAAACACAATGGGATTCTCTTCCCTGCACCAGAGACACTAACAAATTACAATGCGTAGATCAAGATTTTTTTTTTTAAAGTCTTGGTTCTTTTCACTTATTACTTTAAGATAACTAAGTCACTTGATATTCAGTCTCCATATGAAGTAATTCCTATACATATAAACAGTACAGAAATAATTTCATGTAGAGAGTAAAAATACAATCAAACCTAATAAGGATCTGTAAATTTTGCTGAGAATCCAACTCTACAGAACATGGTATGGACTCCCTCTGCTGGTGTCTAATAGCAACAGCTCTGTGACATCAACAAAACTGCTGTCAAGAGAGCATTAAAAAAACAATAGCTAATCTAAATTCACTTCTCTTTATATTAGAGATATTTCATACTAGATTTCACTATGGATCAATAAAGGTAACACTAAAAATTGTTAATATTTTTACTGCAACTGCTAAAAAGAAAAGTAACTAGCAAATTTTAAGTCTTGATTCTTTATTATTAGAACAAAAGGAAAATTTAATATTTATTTTCATTTTGACTGCTCTGTATGATTTTTAGCAGCTTTTTTGGGGAGAGGGGTGCTGGGATCAAATTCAATTTAAATTAGTTTATTATGAAGCCTTATCACTTAATTTTATAAAGAAGAAGTCAAAGGCCATAAGGGAATGTTAACCTGTACTTAGTCCATAAGGCACACAAATCACATGAGATATCTGAAAAAAACAGAAACCTATTAGTTGGTAACAGCTGTTACCACAGCTATCTTTTTATAATGGCAATAAAAAAAATGAAAAGGCAAGCAAGACTAGGAGGAAATATTAGCAAAACACTTATCTGATCATGGACTTGCATTTAGACTCAAACAAATGAAAAAAAAACTTTAGAATAAAAATAAATAACCCAATATTTTAAAAATAAGCAAAAGA